CACACACACACACACACACACACACACACACACACACACACACATATCCAGACACACTCACTACACTACACTATACTATAGTCTACTATACTATACTATACCATACTATACTATACAATACTATACAATACTATACTATACTATACTATACTATACTATACTATACTATACTATACTATACTATAATAATAATGAAATCAATTGACTTTGGTCCATTCAATTTCAATTCAATTCAATTTTATTTATATAGCGCCACATCACAACAACAGTTGTCTCACAGCGCTTTCCAAACAGAGCAGGTCAGACCCTACTCTTAAGTTAACTACAGAAACCCAACAATTCCATGCACCTCTAATTCCACATTTCTGATTATTGAGTTGCAAATTATCAGAGTCAATTTGTCATGTGTTACTAAGTGGGGTAAATTTATCAGAAACAATAACATGTTGGTGTTTAACCAGATGCTTGACTTTCAGACTATGCCTCCTCTTCGTGACATTCCCAAAGCCATTGGATGCTCAGGACATGACAGGGGGACTAATGGGCTCAGCTGCGCTTAATACCTCCACTCTGGCCACACAACTGGGTGGTTTTCAACACTACAGAGCAAAGTCAGAAAGTAGGTCTCTCCCTTATGTAGCTGTATGTTTTGGAGGAAAGGAGGAGGACAGCAAGTTCAACCTATTATGGTTGACAATAGATTAAGAAATTCTGCTGAAAACACTATGGAAACACTGAAAGTCCAAACACTGACTACCTAATAATGTCACAAAGACATCATCAGGGCTACTTTCTCAGGCTACATGAGGCCCTTTAAAGCCACAAACTGTTTTCATACAAAGACTTAGATGAGGAAAACTTGTGGTGTGGCCTTACAAACCAAAAGTCAGACAGTTAAAGCTGTCTAATATAAGTGTCTAATATAACAAAAAGTCTATTTTAATCATTTGGAGATGAATGTTGTATACATTTTGTAACATAACACATACAATGGCATGACATCTAGAATATCTGCATAATGTCTCTGCAGTGACCTATATTTCTTGTTATAACACTGGTGCCAAGCTCCAAATGTCATCACCTGTTGATCTCAGGCTAAAAAAGACAAATGAATAGATGACAAAGTAAGCAGATGACAGCTTAATTTATGAACTTCAGTCTGAGAAGAAACAGGGTTGTGTAATGATTGCCTGCAGAGTCCCTGCCATGAGTCCCTTTGAGTAGAACATCATGATTAATGTTGTGCTCTTACCTGTTGAATCGCTTTGTTCGCCTGCAGATGACGACGGTCAGAGACAGAGGTGTAGTGAACTGAAGAAGAGGTTTTCAATAGGGTGGATTAAGATTAAATAGACACTTTATCGGGTTAAATGTAGGCACAGGTTTAGATAACGGAGGGGTCACAGGAGGTAACAGAAGTTCACCTCAGGCAAAAAGTTAAACTTACAAAGTGTGTAAAAGCTGAGCAAAAACTCTGTTACGAGCCTTATTCAATATGATTACATGACTGGGTCATTCATGGCATGTTTGCATTTACTGTTAGTAAAAGTTAACTTTCCCCATTAAATGAAAATAAGAACAAATAAACAGTAATTACACACAACACAAACCCTTCATATGGCTATTGCTGCTTAGTCATGTCCTTTGAATAACTACCTTTGACAAAACCCCAAATGAACACACAGCTGAGAAACACAGAACCTATGACTCATGAGCTCATAATGTGAGAGGTTTATAATGAAAGTGAATGAGAGGGCATATCAGAAGTAGTCTGCGGTGGCATGGTTGTATAGAGCAAACTTTTTTCTGTATTTGACAGAATTAGATATGTCTTCTTATATCAGGCCTGTTTTTTTTTTTTCTTAAATAACCTCAGTTGGGCCAGCTGACGCTATAATAAAATGAAGATGGAGGACTTTGTTCAGATTTAGGAATAAGGTGTGACCATACTTATCTGGAGCATGAAGGCCTTTTTATAAGTATCCACAACTGCTCTGATATGTGCTCAATGGGTTTGACTATCCATACGTAGTGGTGCAACAGTCACCACCATCCAACTTTGATGCAGCAATTCCTCTTTAAGTAAAGCTTAAAGCTTGGATCTATTGAATTTCATTTGTTTAACTTTTTCGCTATTAGCTGCACTTAAGGTCTTTATGCTATTATCTAATTAGACTCAACAACTTGACTTTACACTAAAATGCTTGAATGCAAATAGCAGGGCAGACTATGTCAATTGCAGTGTAATAAACAGGATCATTGTGTAGTTCCCATTTTGTGTTACAGATTAATAGTTTCCTCTTAAGTTTAAAAATGTTTTTAAACAACTAGAATACTAATAATTTTCAGTGAATGAATGGTGATTGAATGATTGCTTTGGTAACTGTACATAAAGATCCACAGTAAACAAGCTTCAAAACGCACAACTTTTAACATTTTTACGAATAACTTCAATCGCTTTAAATGTTCTAAACTAGAAAGTCTTAACATCAGCCGAATGTAGTTTTATAGACTGACAATCCTAAATAACATTTCGGAGTCTACCCTCGACTTCAATCATTTAGACAGCCTACTCTTTACAGCGTGATGCCTTCCTCTCTCCTTCCCTTTGCTGGCTTCTACCCCAGAACTGGCGTAAACCATCAACAGTATGTTCGCAGGCTCTGTCTGTGTGCGAGGAAACATGAGCAGGGTAGGATATTCAGAGTCCTGGGCCGGAGGCGAAGGCCGCTGGATAAAGCGGAGGAGTAGACGGCGGTCCGTGCGGTTAGAGCTCAGAGACTCAGGAGGGGAACATGTGAGTGGGGCATGGGCAGCTGGAAACAGGATTATTGTTCAACGCAGAAAAGAAACGCAGGAGGGACTCGGGCCAGGTAACTGACCAAGCCATACAGATATGTCAATACGCCTATTGTTTTAAAAAGGGACCGATTGGCTAAATGGGGAAATATGTCATAAGTGTAAGTGCAGCAGTGTAGACGCACTTAACGCGTGTTTTGCCAAATCTTATTGTGCATGCATCCAGGTAGCTGGATATAGTATTTAATCGATCCACGGAAAATTTTGGGAGCTTATTTGAAGGGACAGTTACATATATTTTGAATAGGCTGCTGTTGATAGAGATTCTCCCGTGACACGTACAGTATTGAACCTGTAGCCAAAATAACTTATCTAAATTGAAGCCGATTTGGGGAAAAACACGCCACATTTCAGGAGCCAGTGGTGTAACGTGTTCTGCATCAAAACATGGAAAGCTTTACCCCAAAATAAATAACCCATTCATGGCTACAGGCATGCGACCGCGGAGCATATGGGGAGGGGGGGATATTTTAGATATTTCCTCTAAAATTCTACTCGACAGCATTTAACTAAAAATAATTGACAGTCCAAATCACCACGTCTGTCGAGTCTGTTCACAGTCCTTCCATGTATTGTTTTGAGTCCGTTTGAATGAACTACACTTCAAATAATTTAGGCATCTTTAAATTATATTAATTTAAAACTTTTATTCTTTGTGAGAAGTTTTCCCCCCTCTGAATATGGGGCTGTGTTGTAGTTTGGTATTTTTGCACACGTGAACATTATGAAATTCTCAATGTGCCGTCCACACCGACTTGCCAGTTTTATGAAACGCTCGACTCATGGTGCAAATGACTAAAATATCAATTCGATCTATTGGGATGTTGTATTATTTTCTGTAGTTCCACCTATCGGGACTAATTGGTTTTCACAAACACTGTTGTTGCAGTTATTTACAAACTAGTAATAGTGATGAATAACAACAGTTCTGTCAACGCAAGGACGGTCTGGAGGCTGCTTTACAGCGTGCGGCCAGGTGTATATGCATGGACATGTGGCATGGGGCTATCAGAGATTACTCATATAGAACCAGCATGAAATGTGTTATCTGAAGATGACATACTTTTTGAGGTCAGATCTTACATCACTACCTCTTCACTGTCTTTGTGACTATGAAAAAAACTCCTCTTTTAAATGTTTTAGATCCGTAGGAGAGACCACGGTGACACTGTGAGAAATCCTTGGAGTTTCCCCCCTCTTTTTGCATTTTTGCGCACCGGAGACGCTGCTGACTGCCTGGCCAAAGATGAACACCATTGTGTTTAACAAGCTGAGCAGTCAGGTCCTGTTTGAGGAGAAAGCAAAGGAGGTAGAAATGACCAGCAGAAATTACCTCGAAGTAATCGACGGGCAACATCCAGACCTTCTATCCAGTAACCAGAGCATCAGAGACAACCAGGCAATCCGGCACAGGCGGAGCGGGTATGAAAGCTCTGTTTACCTTTTTCTTTCTTTTTTTATTTTTGTCAATTATAGCTGCAACCAGCGTGTATGGATGTGGAGTAATTGAAAAACACCAGCAGGCTGTTACTGAAGAGTAATTGATCTGTTTTACAGTTATTTTTGCTCTGTAGAGATATTGAACAGCAGTTGTCCATGATTACCTCTTGTGAGCAAAGACAATTAATTATATCCATGTTAAAAAAGAGTCTCATGGTAGCAGTTCTTAAAAATATATTTTATGTGAATGTTGCTTGCCCATGGATGCAGATCTACTCAAGAAATAACAGATAAGAGTACATAATTTGTGCAGGGACATTTGTTAATGGATGGTCCTGCACAAAATCTCAAAGATAATCACAATTACAACAAGTGCTTGATACCTCAAGACTGAAAGGGGAAAATTGGTCATCCTACCTGGATTCTGGCATGTGGATTTAAAGGCACACAGTATTGTGACTCAGATAATTATTACTTCATAGGATTGTGCTTATTTAAGTGTTGATGTTTGGAGTTAATTGTAGAATTGATAATTAGGTCAACCTGGGTAGCCTGTCTTTTAGAGGTCCCCATCTGTTTCCAATGAACAAATACATCTTCAGCTCTTGGTGGGGTTTGGTCCATCACAGGAAACCAATTTAAAAAACTCTCTCTCTCTGTCTCTCTGTCTATCTCTCTCTCTCTCTCTCTCTCTCCCTCTCTCTCTCTCTCTCTCTCTCTGTCTCTCTCTCTCGCACAGCAAAAAAGTGTACACTATAAATCTGAGTATATCTTTATATACATATATACATTTATATGTGTGTTCGTGGAGATCTTTGGCTCAAACTATGACAAAGAAAGTCTAAGGAGCATACTAATGGAAGTCCTTTATAATATGAACTTAAATTATTCAAATTTATTTGATTTTAATGTCAGTAAATGAAGGCATGTTTTTGTATGATTTAATTTACATTGAAAAAATCTAAGGCATGCTGTTAAATTTCCTAGGGGATGTTCATCGAGTAAAAATATTTATAGTGCATGGACATCAGTCAGACTTTGAGGTTAGGTTGAAATATGTTACATCTACAGTCAGTGCAGTTTTTTGGTGAGGTGAAGGAACTAGCAGAGTACGGCACTATACTGACATCTACAGGTTCACAAAACCGGAGCTACAGGTGAGACTGAATCCATCACTGCTTTTTGAAATCATTAGATTAATTTAGACTGACTTTAGCAGGAAAATATTTTGTCATTCTTTTTTAGTTTGGCATGTTACAAACATTTATCGTTTTTCTTGTTTTAATCATCACATGACTATTATATTTGCTCTTATTGCTGTATGCATAGTTCTGAATTTGAATTGGAACTTTACAATTTACTATTTTAATATTCCATCAATCATGCCATATCTCCTGCTGGGATATGAGTTTAGGTTTTTGTCCATCCCTAGTATAATGGTTTGGCTGTGACTGTGATCCAGCTACACTATTTTTCATCCATTTCTCAGTGTGAAAATTTGGTCTGGCAAAAAAAAAAAATTGCGTCCCAGCAGAATGTTTTGGTTTGTAAGTGTAGGTGGCTTGAGTGACATGCACTGACAAATAAAGTAGCAGTTCCCTTTAGCATTCTGACTGCATATGCTTCAACCTCTCACTCATAATTTCTTTCAGCATAATTGTAGAGCATTTGGTGGAAAAAATGCATACTAAATTGTGTTCACTTTATATGCCATGAAAAACAAATTCAGACATCATACTGCTATCCTCATGGCTCCATTTATAGTCACTTAATGTTGTTTAATCATATTTAAAAAAAATAAGAATTGATTATAATGCATTTTTCAAAAGCAAAAAATGGAAAAAAGGTAAAATTGTATTTACTCTGTTGACTAAAATGTTGCCCTGACTTAATGTTGCCGACAGAATCGTTTCTCATTTGGCTTACTTTTTTCAGGTATACTGACAGTTTATCAGCAACAAGAACAATTGATATGTTATTTTTAATGCAGAAATTCTTATATTTGTTTATTGATTCGCACGCAATAATTTCCTGAAGTATTAAAGTGCATTTCTTATGTGTTTCCTTTCAGAGGTCGTCCAAGTGGTGGAAAAGTGCGTCACAAGCGCCAGGCCCTGCAGGACATGGCAAGGCCTCTTAAACAGTGGCTCTACAAGCACAGAGACAACCCTTACCCAACCAAGACAGAGAAAATCCTCTTGGCACTTGGCTCACAAATGACTCTTGTCCAGGTGAGACTGCTTTCTTGTGGTTTTCTTTAAGCTCCTTTACAGTGACAGAGAAAACAATAGAGTTTTAAAAAAAACTTTCATACAGATGTAAGTACTTATAAAACACATTTGATTTCTTCGCTTTTGACTCTCCCTAATTCCGTCTGAAAACCTGGTTATAGCTAGTGTTTAGAGTTTTGAGACAGGATGTTATTTCACTGTAATTGTTTATTTTGTAGCACCCACACAGTTGCTAAAGTGTTTTACTTCCGCTGATTTCTGAGTGCTATGGCAGGTTGTTTGCTCTTCATTATTCAATTGTGCCAAGGAAATATCACCAGATCATGACCAAAGAGACACACATCTGTTATTAAAGTCTCTTAATTATTATTAGATTAATACGGAAGACACTACTGTCTTGATTTAATATAGCTTAAACCTTGATTGTTATATTCACTTGCTTGTGTTTTGTTTTCCCTGTAATTTATGGGACTTACTTTGTCACAAATAAAAAAGGGGTCATGTCATTCAGTGGTCTCTTCATTTTTATTTGTGCTAAAAACATTCAAATAATTTCCTTTCTTGTTTGATTGTGGTTCACAATTTTCCATTTTACATAGCAAGGATAGAGAAAACTTGTTAAAACATTACATTTACATTTGAATCTTAGTGATTTATTTTCAGTCACATTTTACCACTGATGTACAAAAAAATCCAGTTTTAGAAATGTATTATATTTGGATGGTGCAGAAAAGAACAGTGAACAGCTCTACTTAAGGAGCTGACAAACTGACCACTGTTAGGCAGATCCAGCATGTGTGTGTGTTTTGTGTCTGGCACGTGCAGTTGTGTGTGTGCAGAGTATCATCTGGCTGACAAGGCCACTGATGTGGCCTCAGAGACTCTGCAGCAGCTTTTTCAGGCCGCCAGCCATGGAGCTTAATCTGCTTCTCATTTTTGGGGCCCAATGGAGCTGTTTGTTTTGGTGAGGGCGAAGCAGAGTGCGAAGGAATGCTTTGTGTTGGACTCCTGGATGCCGCTCTGCAAGCAGACACATGCAACCTTACACACGCATGCATTTAAAGCTGACACCCAAATAACAGCAGCAGTGTTAAAGGTCACTTAAAGATTTCTTTTAAATTGACTGTGGGTGAGGACATATAGGTGAATTATTTTCACATTTTCCACATGGAAGTCGGTCCAAAGTTGAATTAATTTATCTGAAAAAGTATATAATGCTGAGATGAATGAAATATTAAATCAGTTGCCTGCTGTAAAAAAAAAAGTGAAAATTGAAGTGACATATTTTTTACACTTTTTGTGAAAAATTGTTATTAGAAGGAATATATTACTTTTCCTTTTCTTTTATATTCTGAAGAATATATCATATATATTTTTAGGGATATTGGGCGGTTTTTATTGTAAAATGAGCATTTAGAAAATCAAAAAACAACTTCTTAAACCATGCTGACCAGAATTCTCTCTGGCTTTATAATATTCCTACTATTAAAATAGTTGAAAGAAAAATTATGGATTGTTTTTATTTTGTCTCGTCATTTAAACAAATGTAGTCCCGACGTCCAGTTTTAGGCCAGCCAATGATGGTAAATGAATTGCTTTCAGAGGATTTTTCCCTGAAAATACCTACCTGGCAATAGGTGTTTAAAGCAAGGTCTACTAAAAAATCTCACTGTCTTCCATATAAATATGGTGACTTATTCTTTTTTTTTTTTTTAATAACTAAGTTAAATCTCTTCATTATTGTTGAAATCCCTTGCTGTGCTGGGACGCACTGTCATGTCCGGAACATACAGTACAGACGTGCAGGCAATGGGTGAAATGGCTGGTTTGGCTTATTTTCCTTGTCCTTCTGGTTTTCATTAACAGACATGCCAGCCATTCGCTTTTCTCTCATTCCACTGACAGTCGTCCTTCTTCCAATGATCATTACTGCACTGTCCCATGCCTAGCCTCATCTCACCATACCCTTTCCTTGGCATTGGCCAAGCTGTATGCACGAGATGCCACTTTCCCCTTGCGCCACACCACTGGTCTCCAGACAAAAGGACGTGGGATGGTCTTTATTAACGGGAAACACGATACTGAAAGAGAGAACCTGAAAAATAAGTATTCTAGCATAAGGCCCCTGTCCCTGTGCCTTCATAAGCCGCTTGAAGTCTATTGAGCATGAAAAGTTATTATAGTATAACATCTAATAGTCTCCCCTCCCACTGGATGGAAGAGCTGTGGCTCAAGTGTCTTTTTTATTGCATCTTCAAGACAGCATTGGAAAATATGTATTATTAGAGGGAGACTATGCACGTCCAGTATGAGCACCAGGGACATGCATCTCTGTCAGAAGATTAGTTAATAAAACATTGAGTTAGATGGCTGCACGGCATTTGTTTCAGTATGGTGTTGACACAAAGAAGATGTATTCTGGGGTGTCTATCTGGTGTGTCTGGGATGTTTCTTAAAGCTCAGTTTCAGAGAGCCGTTTAGCAACTTGATTCTCAAACTTTTTTTTAAAATGAGACTGATGGAAAGCAGAGAACAAAAGTTTTCATAGACAACAGTTTTTTTGTTTTGTTTTTTGGCTTTATATATTGAACAGTTTGGATACAAAACATTAACACATGTTTCTATTTGCTATGAGTTCCTACTTCCTTCTAAAACTTTCCTTCTACTTCTCTCAGGTATCAAACTGGTTTGCCAATGCCAGGAGACGACTGAAGAACACAGTCAGGCAGCCAGACTTAAGCTGGGCTCTCAGAATCAAACTCTACAACAAATATGTCCAGGGCAACGCAGAGAGACTGAGCGTCAGTAGTGATGACAGCTGCTCAGAAGGTACATGTTAACATTTGTGAATGTAAAAAAGCAGCTGTAATACTCAGATTGAAGGGGTACCCAACTACATTAGTTTTAGTTTTACATTATACAAATTGTGGTACAGAGGTGGAAAAAAAACACACTCAGCATGAGGCAGCAATGATGGAGTGCTTTTTCACATAATACCACAGCCACTTGCCAATAAATGTAATTTTCAGTCAAACTTATATGACAAATAGCTAATCATAGCTAAATGTGAAGGGCTAATTCTTCTTATGCATTGCTTTTAATATATATTTAACCATTTCTGCATTGTAGTAATGTGTACTTCCACATGACACATGACCAGTGTATAGTCATGTGGAGAATAGCAGCAGATTTAAAGCAGTTTTACAGCAACATAACACATTCTCCCACACACAGCCTGGTTTTGTCCTTTAAATTTGTGTTTTTTCCAATGAGAAACTTTTTGTTTTCTTTATTGGACTCACAAATAGCTTTAGATCACGTCGTGCAAAAGTATCATGTCGTGCTGCAAGCATTAAAGGTGTCCTGAAAAGAATCCTTAATTAAGGGAAGTATTTTCAGATACTAAGATGAAAATATATCATTAAAATGATGCAGAAAACAGACATAGGTAATACTGGTTTTACGAAATGTACAAACCCGCCCTTTGAAAAAACGTAAAGCCACTAGTTTTATGATAGTGATTAACAGTACTTGCCTTGTTGTATTTGGGTACCTGTGGACATCACTAAAAAACTCATTTGTAACTAGTTCTATTTGAAGACGATAAACTTGGACGAAATTTTCAGCTTCATTTTCTGCAAGTAAAATTACCCTTTTTTAACCTGGTGCACTTTGAATGATCAGGAAAATATTTTGCATCAAATTATAAATTAAATGGGCCAAAAGGCCAGGCCATCTTCCACTGTGTTTTTCACGGGGTTGCCTGATGCTGTGCGAAACCATGTTCTGGGTGTGTATAAACAGAGTTAAGAGACACAGGGGCTGGTGAACTGTGACACGCTGTCATTAAGACACCCCACTCAGCCAACCTCTGCCTCTCAGCCTACAATTGGAAATGAGTAGCTCCCCGGCTGCTGTGTATTTACTGCAAACGCAAGAACACATGTTGATTCTCAAGGGAGAGCCTGGGTTTTTTCTACTAACTGACAGTACCAAAAACAAGGTCAGGAAACAATAAAACAATTTAACATGTGCAGTGATAAAAGTCAAAGGTTGAACAGTAAGGAAGAGCACTTTGGTGTCAGCAATCTCTAATTAAGTTTGAGAGAGGGAGAAGTTGAGCATGTGGCTCACAGAGGAATGTGTGCATGGTGTTTGCTTTGTGTCTGCCACAGGCCACTGTACCACCAGAGGCTCTGTATATCTCCAAGACTCTTCTCCCTGTCACATTATGGTTATGAAGCTACCCACAACCTGCTCTCACTTTTGACCCATGTGCTGAAAGGCCTTCTATTATATTTTTAAACCTTTGCTTTTGTTCCAAAGACTATTTCTGAGGCCAGATATGATCCCTCTGACCCTGTATATTCCTCTTACTGTCTGAAACGTCTGACTTGTTTTGATTGCTGCAGTAGTACAACCAAGGGAAGAAAATACTTTTATAAGGCAACTTATTTCTGCTGCTGAGGAAGGTGCAGTAGAAGTGGATTTAAAATCAAGTGGATTTAAAATCCCTGGAAAACTTGGGGCCTTTCTCTGGGAAGCTTAAATATTCTCCCCAGGGTTCTCTCTGGGTATTCTGGCTTTCTCCCATCATCCAAAAACATGCACGTTAGGCCTATTGAAGACTCTAAACTGCCCCTAGGTGTGTGTGTGGTTGTTTCTGTGTGGCCCGTTGATGGACTGGTGACCTGTCCATGCTTTACCTAATCTTTTGCCAATGTTGGCTAAAATAGGTTCCAAGATGGCGCATAAATAACAGATGTGGCATGTTCTACTAGTGAATAGAATACATTTATTGTTTAGTATTCTGTAATTAATGTTCCTGAAACATTTTGGAAGGGCCTGAAGTGAGCAATTACCAGGATACCCACAAACAAACATACTCCAGAGTCACTATTGCTATTAGGATACACTATACACACTTTTTTAATAATCAGATATTCAAAATGAAAATATTTATCAGTAAGATAAAGTATCCAATGTCAAATGTAGGTTGACATATTGGTCTTGCTTGTGGGATTACCACTGGAGTTAGACATATGATCATGGGGTGATAAATGATACCACTTACAGGACGTGATCATGTGTAAAGGCATGCTTTGATAAAGAATAAAAAAACTTGGTGGACTGCTTTAAAATGATTAATGTTATATGTTTGTATGTTCATGGTGCAGATGGGGATAACCCTCAGAGGACACAAAACAGCCCTGAGGAACTCAACAAACCTTTGTATCAGAGTGTCATCAAGAAAGAGGGTGCCTCTATGGTGAGCATGGCCATGGGTATGGGTATGGGCACAGGGCTGCGTTCCGCTGCTGAAGCTGCCTCATTGGCTGAGGACTACGTGTCTCCACCTAAATACAAGAGCAGTCTGCTGCACCGCTACCTGAATGACTCCCTGCGACATGTCATGGTGGCCAATGCTGTCATGGACGCTCGCAAGAGGAACCACTCTGGCTCCTTCAGCTCCAATGAGTATGACGATGAGCTTCTCTCGCCGTCCTCTTCTGAGGCCGAAGCAAACTTTGTTTATCGGGCTGGTAAGGAGCCACATTTTTTACATTCTTTCCTTTTAAGAAACTCACTCACAAAAAGACACACACACACAGAATCCTTCACTTTTGTTCTTTTTGTCCTTTTCAGCTGCACATTTTGTTTTAATTATTGCAGCTGGTCCATTATTTCCAACTGTCTGCCTCTATTACTTTCTTTCTCCCTCTGAACTGTGTTAAATCTGTACAATTTCTATTGCTGCAACACTCGCTTCACCAAGTCCACATATAATTTGTTTATTGATACTGGTTTATAATAACTTCTATTTCATCATGTACAAACAAGGTGGGAATTTTTATTCAACACAGCAACACTCTCATACGAACAAACAATTTCTCACACACCATGTATCTGCAACATGAGAATCCATTTATTGTCACACACATAAGCACACTGGTCATCTTTCACCCACTTTAGAAAAGCAGAGATGGAATTACCCCAGCTTGCTCGTTTGCCTAGGATTTAACAAGGCCAGACACAACAAGGCCATTTAAAACATGTTCTTTTTCAGGCTACTGTTTGACATGCCCTTGATCTTGCAAATCCAGCAAAGAGATGAGGGCCAGTACATATATGTTGCCTTGTATTTGTGCATATATATATATACACGCACAAATACACAATTATACAATTATACAAAGATACAATGAGACTGTGCTTTGCTTACATGGCCACATTTCCCATGCTGATGGAACATTTCCACTTTCCACAATTCCAAATGCAATATACATACAGATATGTTTGTGTGTTTAAGTGGAATAAATGCATTATTTAAAGTGTTTAACTTGACAGGGAGACCTTAAAGAAATTTAACGCACTTTATATACATTACATTACACTCTGTGATAGTATCAATGCAGATTTTCATTTAAACTTGAATGCAGTGTGAGACTTTCCATATAAAAAAACTGCATGCTACAACCGTGTGCAAAGGGTTCCCGCCTGCTGCTTGATCGAGCTGTGAACAATCAAGGTCAGGTCTGTCTACCCCAGCCCATAACAGTGAGCCTTTGTTCAGATGGGCTTCATATCCAACAGAAATGTTTTCACTTTCTGTTGAGCATGAATGGAACCTGGAAGAATCACATTTAAAGGTGTATGTGGTGGAGTAGCTGGTTTTATTGTGTCTCAAATGTGTTTTATATTATCTGAGAGTGAGGGATAGTGTGTGTGCAGGATTTTTATGAAATGCATCAACAAATTCTCTTTTATGAACAATTTAAAGCGTCATGACCTGAAACAGTATCAGACTTCTTTTGTTGTATAAGCATCTCACATATGGAATAGGAATGGAAAAGATGGATAGACCAAAAGAGACTTCTAATCTTCACTCTACCAGATTTTAATCAATAAAGATAAATCCCAATAAGGGACTGATTTCCCTGACTAACCTACTCTTAACCTACTCTTAAAAGAAACTACACAAATAACTATTTTATCTCTCTGATTTATACAATTTCTTGGCCCTGAAAAACTTTTAAATCCACACATGGAAAAGTTCTCCTATGCTGCACTCATGGGAATCAGCACCTGTTGGGCCCCTCCAATCTAATCACCTTTTCAAAGGGATTAAACAAAGACATTTTGAGACAATGGCATTTTAATTTGACATTTATCTTACTTCTGCTGACAGCTAATGAAAGACTTCACAAAAAAAATCTCTTTAATCTTTCATTTGCATAATATCCAATGCATTATTTGCTGCTGGTATTCTATACTGAAGGTATTTCTATTGCTATTGCAGCTGAACAGCAGACATTTGTACAGAAAAAATCTGCTAATAAGATTGCTGAATATTCTCCCTATTTCCATTCTCCCAATAACACACTATCTCAACATTTTAAGCTTGTAGGGAGGAAAATTATTTGATCTGAAAGACAGATCTGAAACCAAAAATATGATATTCGATTCTTTCAGTGAATTTCCGCTTGCAAAAACAGTTAATCAAAGCGAAAGTGGCATGCCTGACAACTGTTTTCTTAATGGCTTTGATTCCATTATTGTGCCACTTGGTTATTGCGGGTGCAGCCAGAGCTCCTGTGAGGGCAGTCAGACGTGGCAGAAGATGGAGAGTGTAGATTTACCCCAGTGGAAAACTAAACATCTGTCGGCTTGAAAAAACTCATGTACAATTCACAGGTCTCAAATGAGCACATGCACATACACATCTAGTACAAACAACCATAAGCACACACTGCAGTCCAAAGCCTTTTGGGAATTTCGCTGAATACAACAAGCAATCGAATCCCATCACACATGCCAGAGGTTTCATGCCAAATGACCCTTTAATGGGATATTAAATGGCAGGAATTTTACTGAATGTTTTTCTTCTTGCTCAGTACCAGATTTCACTTCGTCAAAGATCATATAGATCATTATATGCCAAATGACTCCCAACATTTCTGAGGATGGTGGCTGAGAGATCTAAGTAATTTTTTATGTAGCATGTATTCTCAGGCCTACTCTTAATGTACTTTGGTTACAACTACACACAGTAGCCTAATTGTGACTATGAAAAGCTTTCCAATGCATCTTTTGATGTGGAAAAGCACCCATAGCTGCAAGCCAGTCAATGGGCATCATTAAATGTCCAATTATGGGATTGCTTTATGCTACATATGAAAAAACAACAACAGCTTTATGTAAAAAACTTGGCAATAAAAGTATTAATATGCTGATGTTTTGAAGCTAATGTTTGGCTCAATGTTACATTTGCCGATTAACGTTAATTGTAGATGTTTTCCTTTGGTTTGCGGATTTGATTATGTTTTGAGATGTTTTTATCCCGTGGTGGCTTTAGATAAAAATCAATTGGGTCACCAATGTTTGACAGTTGGTTCACTATTCAAAATAATTTTCAAAGCTGTTCTTGTGAACTTCTTGGAATTGACAATAGATTAATAGATTAATATAATATAATAGATTGATAGATTAATATTTTTCAAGCATTTTAATGAGATATCTCTATCAGTTTCTCCTAACAGCAGAGTGAGTTGGTTCAAATCAAATTCTTTCTTCTTTATTGTCAAGTGGGGTTGTTTAAGACATTGGTCTGTTTGAAATGCATTAAATGAAAATAGCATTTTGATGGTAGCTTCTAAGAGACGATGTCCTTTTAAATTAGGTCACAGAGAATGCCAGAAAATGATTGAATCAGGTACTTGAGATTACTTGAAAACTAATGGAAAATTATGTTAGAATACTGCAATTATTTTGATTAGATAAAGTGGTATTTTTTATTTAATATGATAATGCATAATAAGATGATAATAAGATATTATAAGATAATAAAGTGCAATTATTATTTTCAACCAGGTATACTTAGCTGAATTTCCTTTACCATTAATATCTGTCTTGTTTAATCGAAAAAAGAAAAACAGCTTTGAGAATTTATGCAGCAGTGCTGTTGAAAGATGGTGGACATATATGACTTATTGCTTCAGCGTATTGCTTGCTGACTGATGAGCAGTTGTGTAATTTACCGTACGCAAAAGAGCAATAGCAAAGACGCAGAGCCGCTTGATGACAATGAGCCACTCCCGGTTGGTGATGGAAGTGGAGTTCTCGTCCCAGGAATTCAGATATGTGGACAGACTGGCTATGATTTGCTCTTTCCACATTTCCATAGGAAAACAGAAAGAGAAGACAGAGCGAGGAGGGGGTTGAGGATGCGATCCAAGACAGCAACTTTTGCCAAGACTCACTAGGTTCAGGTTAGGCTTTAGAAATCAGTGTGGAAGGGATAAAAGGAGGAGAAGGAGTGAGGCACTTGTTCCATTCAGATAAAGAGTTCAGTTTCCTTCACAGTAACCCACATGGAGAATAACAACAGCATGGTGGAAGTAATTGAGCAACAGAAAGAGTATGGTGGGAAGAATTAACCACATGGTTCTTTGAGTATTTTCTTGGATCTCTTCTCACAAAGATAGAAAGATGTGGTTGTCAAAACCAGAATCAAGTTTATGAAATAATAAAACACATTTCATGAGCTTAACTAAAACGTGTGTGCTGGGTAGGTAGAGCAACACTGAATGAGGCATCTGTTCTGGGTGTTAACATTGTCTCAGATTTCTTGTAATTGATAATACATGATTGGTTTGTCTGGCACTTACTGTACGGTCTTTGCATCAATTGTTATTATTTTTAAGTTGTCAGTTTAATTAAAACAGATGCAAAAAATGAAGAAAATATCTGAAAGCACTGGATCACAGGACATGTATCCTGTATGAATTCAACTGTAGATGGAACAAATGTTAAGAACAGGATATTTTACTGGAAGTTTTTTTTTTAGAATCTATTCACTGTTATTGTAATATTCTTCTTAACTTTGTTTAACTTGTTTCAACAGAAAAAAAATCAATAAAAACATTACCTGGAGGTAGCTAAGACAAATTAAGTGGTATAACTGATTCAATGGTATATAATGGGGTGTGACAAGATCTCGTGCTACATTATCTTACAAGATTAAATAGTGACAATATTTCTTGTTTGAAAAGATGTCTTACGGGCACAGGGCAGAAACGAATTACACTGCAAGCTGTCCAAACTTTGGATAGCGGCACAGTGGTGTTGTGGTTAGCACCATCCCCTCACAGCAAGAGGGTTCTGGGTTCAAGTTCTGGGGTAACCAGGAGTTTTATGTGTGGCGTTTGCATGTACTGTCTGTGTTTGGGTCCTCCGGCTTCCTACCACTGTCCAAAAACCTTTGGACATTCCAAATTGCCCTTTTGGAGTGAGTGTGATGCTTTTGGTTTTTTGTCCTTGTGTGGCCCTGTGACTGATTAGCGGACTGTCCGGGGTGTACCCTGCCTCTCGCCCATTGACTACTGGGATTGTCCCGTCCTCCCTGCGACCCCATTAGGGAATAAGCAGTAATGATAATGGATGGATGGATGGAAGGATGGATGGCTAACCAAACTTCTATTTTGGACCTGTGGAGGCAGTAATGCGCATTTGCTAACCTAGTCTGCCATAGAAGAAGTAAAAGGAAAGCTACAGCAGTAGCCTTTTGAGCACAGAGAGAATGACTTTAGGGTATGAAAATATCAGCGGTGAAGAGGGACCTCTATTCCATGTAAACCCGTATTTCCAACTATCTAACTAGAAGGCATAGTTACTGCTCAAAGTGCACTGCTTCTTGAAAAAGAACATGACCATATCAATTTTTTGAGCGTTAAAAACAAAAGTTTAATTTTTCTTTCTCGAAAGAAGTTAAACAGTTTGAAGCTCATTCTTAGATCATGTATGGATGCTACTTATAAAACAGTGTGAAATGCACCTGTATTGTTTTGTGACTGTTAAATAGAAAACATCTGTTTGTCCAGTTATATATTTTGTCATTTTAGTTTTCTTAAAAGTATTGTGAAAATATTGTCTTGTCCTCCTTGTCTTAATAATGAATGTTGGTCCTTTCATATGAATCTTCTCTCAGTTGGCAAATTTCTGAGATTAGCTCTTTTTCCTCTTTTGTCTTTCAAAGGCAGGTACATGGGAATAATGAATTTAGGTGGGAGGTTTGAAAATTGTAATCTAAACTTGAACAGGCAAATCTGACCAAATTACTGAAGACAATATTTTTTTACATTTACATTTAAACATTTTACAAAATGTCAGATTACACTGTTTTTTTGTTGGTCTTAACATTGAGATGAAATCTTCCTGAAATCAGCTGCAGTACAGAGTCTTAATTCACCCATTGTTAAATACGCACATAAATGCTCAGAATTACCACTAACTTATAAAAACCTTGTTTCTCCAATCTTACCATCTCATTACGTTAATCTATGTTATTGCTCATCACAAGATGGTTCGAGGACTGCACTTTTTTAAAAAGAATAATGAGAAACATTCCTAATTTGTAGCGGTGTTTAAATTCTGTCCTTGCGAACTGGGTACGCAACAGCATAGATAACAGGGCTACGAAATAAACTAGAATTCATAAACATGCTCTGATGCAAGGTCTTTTATGAGGTATGTGAAGTGCTTCAGGGTGCCGTGGAAACAACTAGCAGTTGGCAGAGGCGTAGTTTAATCCTGGCATGAAGTTGTTGTGCAGCTTCATGTAAAAGAAAAGGTGTATAAAAAGACACACATTATAAGGGGAGAAAAAAAGCCACTGTAGTGTTCCTCTTTCATTGGAGGGTGGGATGATGGCTTTTGAGTACTTTACAGATGTTGGGTGTGAAGCAAGTAGAAGTTATCAACAGACTCAGCCATCAAATGGCATTGCAGAGTTAAGTGACAAATCATAAGACCTCTTTACTTGTTCATTTTTAAATGATTGGTATGAGAGGTGCACAGGCACAATACGTTTTTTAGGATTCATAGAACTCAGCTGCCTGTGAGTGTCTGATACACTGCCACCATGTTCCCTCACAGGATGGAAGACAGAAAAGCAAGGTTTCACAAGAGAGCAGAGGTGTGATCCAGTAAGGACACAAGACACACACAGAAATTCCCTAAAAGTGAGACAGCAACTGCACTACCGCTGTGAAGGATTGCAACATAATGATGCAGTAAGAACAGCACAAACATATCATTTGGCCACCAGATTCCCCCAAAAAAGCCTATTTTTGTGCACATGTAAACACTTAAAAATCTGAATAATGTTTACTTGTGGTTCTTCCTTTTTTTTAAAACTCCTTAACGTGTGTGATTTGTACACCACAAACAACAGCCATTCATCTTTAAAGATGTCACTGAGAGCACTGTGATGAAGCACAGAACAGCTCAGCCTTTTTTTTCTTTTCTCTACCTGTTATTTTAAGGCGGCGCAAACAGACTTATCTGTTCCTTGTCAGTCATGTTTTTTTTCTGTTGGAATAAAATCAAGACTTAATGCAACCTGTGCAATAATAATCATCTATTGCCATGCAAACTCCCAGTTCCTGATTATGATGAGCCTGTTGATTCCTGTATTTTTGGTTGTCCACAACACCGTGGCAAACCACCCACAGCCATACCAAAACTTGCACACTTGCCAAAACAGCATATTTACAGCTCTTCCCTTGACAATACTCTCTTCCCATTCTGGCTGATTTTCAGAGGCCCTGATTACACTGTGTTTACTGGCACTCATAAACACAATGACAAACTGGCAGTGTTTAAACTTCCAAAACACCGTTATTATTTCTTCATCTAGCAAGAAGACATAAGGCAATCCTCATTGCTTGGTTATCTGGTCCAACCACAGCCTCACCAGTGTGTCATCTGCTGGGCAGACACGAGGAAAACGCAGCACAAAGAAAGCAACGGTCTGGGATCATTGTTGATCTGTAAATGAGTAAATGTCTGGGTGTGTCACTGCATAGATCCCCTTTATAAAATGCACAAATTCATTATTCAACATTTGTAAACGATAAAAATGCTGTA